CCATTAAATATTACAATTTATAATCTAAATACTCAAGCACACTGTAAAAACATTTGTCAATTAGCAGGTTTCTTAAACCTCGTTTAAATTTATGAAAAGGTAGTGCCTTAATGGAATTTGGAACTTTGTTATATAATTTAATGCACATAATGTAACTGTTATTTGATGTGAGTGTGAGATTTGTTTTAGGTCGATATAATTTGTTGGCATTGTGAGACCGTGGAGCGTAATAATATTAGTTCAAAAGTATTAGTTAAATGTGAGTTCAGTTCACGGTTTTCCTTATTGATTCAAAATAAAATCGAACACTGGCCTACTAATACAAATAAAAAACTAAAAAGCAAATAAAAAAAGAATTGTTGATATCGGCCGAATCATCATCGAGTGATACTTTTGTCTGACAGATATCTATTAGTGTACAATGTACAAGAGTCATATAAAAAACTAGACCAACGCAATGATTACACAGTTGATGCAATGCTCTTACTTAAATTATATAACTACCAGCATATCTTTAAGGAAACCAGTAGTTTTTTCGGATAGGCATTGTTACAAGCACTGACACAAAATAAGTTAGTATATAAAATAATAAATTATTCCAAGCTAAAACTATCTCTAATTTCATGTCATTAAGTTATAATTTTCACCTTTTGGTTGTATAAAATCTGAATCCGTGTCCAAGTTTGATTATTTGTGTTTGTAATGAAATTGGCTTCAAAATGAACTTGGTAAATGATCTGAAGAAATTGGTTTTGTATATGAAACGTCGTATTCAAGAGAATAGTTATGACAGTATTCTGTGGCTGGTGGATATAGTTCCAAAAATTTCTGGGTTTTCTTACAGGAAGGACAAAGTTTCACGTACGTACAAGAAACATCTTAATAATCAATACTCAAATGTGATGTAATTCGTAATATGCCAGAGCGTAAATCTAAGCGAGACACACTGCGTTTTCTATAGTGTCTTAAATACATTCTTGTATTTAGTTAGTAGAATTTTCAATAACTGTATATTTGTTAACGAACAGAATCCTGTTCTGAATGCTTCTTTTAAAATGAAATATTATTTAGTAAATGTTATTTAAAAAGGAATATACTTCAATATAAAAAGAATTGGTTTCTTATTACGACTGAACAAAGGGTAATTGTAATTTAGTTTGTTTCAATATTTTTTTATTTTAATATTTAAAGCAGTTGAGCTCCAACTGCCCCAATAGAAACGATTGTAAATTTAATAATTTTGTAGCGTGGTTCTGGTACATCCACATGTTTCTTCTCTTCTACGTGTATGCCGTCGGTAACTTCTGGTATCAATGGAAGTTCGCTCACGGCGCTGGTGACTTCATCAAGAGCTATGTCAACATCTCTATCATCGTCATTATTGGCAACAATAGTGTGTGGTTTGTCAAACAAAGGTACTGTGACTATTTTTTATTTATCTTACCTTATATTTGTTTTTGACTGTTTGTTTAAAACGAATACTTCCAAATCTATAGGAGGCACTCATACCTCCAAGCAAGATAGTCGTCCAACGTCGTCCCATCAAATATACAAATATTATAACTCTTAATTTGAACTCTTCTTTAAGTAATAACTCAAGCTCCTACCATTATATCTGACGGTTTTGCTAACTCTTTAAACGTCGAACAATAAAGGATCGCCTGTCTCGTTAAATTACGAATATAATAAATGTATAGAGATGTGATTCGCCTAATTATCAATTTTGTTTAATATCTATTGAATCGATTATACTGTTTTGTTAATCGAGATTTTTATTGCAGACCCCTATTAAGAACAGTTTTAAAGAAAATAGAACAAAGTGATGAACTGTCCCGAAGATCCAGCTTTTTGATGAGAAAACACGAGAAATTGATGAAGATTGTTAAACGAATTGTTCTAATCTTCTACGGATTTAATTACATTGATGCGTTTTTTATATATTTTCCACACAGAGTCGATTTGCGGAACAATTATTCTATGACACCTTGTGTTGGTAAGTATATCTTGTTGTCTATTAAATATACGTAATAAGCGAAGGATACACTAGGAGATAAAAGTCGCACGACATGTATCGGCGACATGTCGAGCGAAGCTGGCCGATGTCGCCTGACATATATTTTTTTCTGGCATAAGCTGGTAAACGAGCAGACGGATCACCTGATGGTAAGCAATCGGTGTCGCCCATGGACACCTGGAACACTAGAGGCGTTGCGGTTAGAAGTTTGAGAATCGTTGGGGATTCAGGATTTTGGGAGATTGGGGAAGGGGAGGGTAATTGGGCCTCCGATAACCTCACTCACACAGAGCAAGCGTTGCTTCACGTCGGTTTTCTGTGAGGCCGTGGTATCACTCCGGTCGAGCCAGCCCATTCATGCCAAAGTGTGGGACACTTACATATACGGTGACAACGTGCAACTTACGTCCACAGTGACGTAGATGTTGCCAGACATGTTGACCAAAGTCCGGCAACGTCGCGCTACTTCACCCGACGTCGCTAGCGACACGTGTCGCAGGATTTTGTGCTCTAGAGTATCCTTGGCTTTATGGAACAACAATATGACATAAATAATAATGATCAGGTATTTGTGATAATTTCTACGAGAATTTTTACTTGTTGATTAAAAATCTTGACTGCTTCGTTGGCCGAGTGGTCGCAAGTACGACTGCTGTGTAAGGGGTCTCGGGTTCGATTCCCGGGTCGGGCAAACTATTATTGGGTTTAAAAAAAAATCTCAGTGGTAGCACAGAGTCTGGAATCGTGCCCGGTATATGGCAATAGGCTCACCCCCTATTACATCGAACTAATAACATAAATAGTGAAAAGTGGGTGTGACATTATACAGTGGCATAATGTGCACCTCAGCCTACCCCTTCGGGGATAAAAGGCGTGATGTTATGTTATGTTATGTTGATTAAAAAAAACATATGTAAGTTAGTTTAGTTCCAGATTCTTAATATTCTTACAAGTGTTTTCGAAAAATAACAATATTACCTAATATTACTCTACGAAGATGCAGTTAGCATTAGTTTGCATAATACAATGCTCACCAAACCGATTTGTCTGGTTTGTGGTCTTACATTGCATTTTTAATGCAGTTTTTCTTTCTTTTGACATTGTTAATGAACGTATGAAATGTATTTAATTCAAGTCATCATGACGATGCTATTTTATTCTTTCGTCATTCAATCAATTTCAGTGCTTCAGACATTCTAAGTTTATATGTCAAGTAGCTTATGAGCTAAATAATTTTGCAATGTGTCTGGCTAGTAGCTTTACCTTTTGTTTGCAGTTTCGTTTAAGGAAGAGAAAGTATTTTACATTTGGTTAATTCTGTCTCTGAATAAATTATTGCACTAGACACATAATGGTTCCTAGTCACGATTGCATCTCGTGTAGGAATTTCCGGGTTGAGCAAAGTATTATTATATATTAATGTTTTGGTTTAAATTTGGCATCTGTGCTTATGTAGAAAATGTTGAAAGTATCAAAATGATTACTGCAAGTGCTACTCGCATACTATACGTCGAACCAGACCCGAGCGTACGGCGTGTTGCGTTCCAATCCATCAGACCACCGCGGATGGGGCTCAATAGGGCTGATGCCGATACGGAGCCGCGTATTACCCGTTAGGTTCTCCGCGACACCGAACAAGGGTGTATTATTGGGTTTTTTAAGAAATTGTCTGTAGTCATTGTCAGGAGACTCATAACAAAAATTGTGAAAAGTGGGTGTTACATTGTGCAGTGGCATTAAGTGCCATAATGTGCATCTCTGCCTACCCCTTCGGGGATAAAAGTCGTGATGTTATGTTATGACCCACATTAATTGTACAATTTGTTTTAGGTCTGCAACCTCTAACAGCTTCACCGAACAGGGAGATATGCATGACCATCCTCACTTTACAAGAGTTCACCATAAACATAGTCGCTCTGAACTACCAGGCTCTTCTGCTGTTCCTCATAGCTCATACAGCTGCAATGTATCAGATGATGGCTTATGAAATGATGGCCTTAAATGATTATAAGAAGGAGAACTTAGGACAAGTGAATAAGAAACTTTCATCTTTAATAGAACGCCATTGTTTGACGCTAGATGTCGTTGATAATTTGCGGTCTCTATACAGCGTTCCACTAGGAGTTAACTTTGGTTCAAATGCTGTTTGTATATCTTTGTTCTTCTACCTCCCGCTTCGTGAATGTCTTCAGTTTATGCCTGTGTTTGTGTATTGCTCTCTTGTTTTCTTCTTATATTGCTTTCTCTGTCAGCGGTTGATTAATTCAGCGGAGGTGTTTGCGAGGGCGGTGTACTGCTGTGGTTGGGAGAATTTTGGCTTAAAGGAGAAGAGGTTGGTGTTCGTCATGCTGCGTCAGTCTCAGAAGCCGGTGGAACTTCTGGCAGCTGATATTATACCAGTCAATATTTATACTTTTGCGACCACGTTGCAAGCTATGTTCAAGTTTGTTACTGTTGTTAAGTTTTGATTTATTTTTAGCTGTATTTGGTACGTCTATCTGTCTTTTTAATGCTCTAACAATATTTATAATTAAAAATAATATGAATACTATGCTACATTTTTTTTGTTTTTAGTCTAAGCACATTGTAGTGCAGCATAATTTTTTGCATTCATATTAGTTGTAATTTTGCAATATAATAAAATAATGCTGAGATTAAATTTTGCGTTTAGTAGTATGAACATAAAAACAATTTGAAGCAAAATGTTATATCGTCACGGTAATAAAGTAATGTCTTCATTATTTGAAGCCAAGGTCAATCCAAAGTCGATTGGAAACCGAGGCCCATAGAAAAATAAAAAACCGCAAAGACCAGAGACAGCAATAGTAAATAATTCATAATTGAAAGTAACTGATAACAATAAAAAAGAGGTTCTAGACAAAAATATCATGTTGTGTTGATGTAATTGTCAGTCTTTTCATTGGTGATACCTTCTGTAGATAACTTAAAACGAATACCAGATTTAAAGAAAATATGTTTTCGAGGGACGGTTAAATATAAATGTAACCGCTTATTTCTGTACTCTATAACGGTAATTTTTTGAAAATATGAAGTAAATTATAGTTGTGTAACATGAATCATTTTGAAAAAAATTGCTTTTAAAAATGAGTTATATAATACCTAACAACTGGTGCATAGTTAGCAAATCGCTAATGATAGACAAGATTAAATAAAATTATGAACATAACATGATGTAACTACTCTCAATACTCATAAAACAAAAAAATATCGAAACAATATTCATCGTTATGTATGAGATTTTGCATTTAATTTATTGTCTACGAAAAATAAATGATTAACTTTAAGCAGACAGGAAAGGTATGTAGATCGTTATGTCCGATACTTAACAGATGATTATTATGAATGTAGAAGAATGTTTTTAGGTATTAGGTATGTAGTATATAGTTTATATATTAGTAATTATAGTTTTAGTTCCTTAATTAAATAAGATACAAAGCTGTATTATCGAAGGCAGGCCAGTAAAGAACCACTGATGGGGCTCAATAGGGCTGATGCTGATACAGAGACGCTTAGGACTTACCGGGGCTCCGGCTCGAAGTGCAGGAGTAGGAACGGGGTGGTTTCTAGTCAGTAGGAGCATGACACTCCCTCTCGCCTCACCCGCGGGAGACGTTATTGGATGATTTTCTCCCCTCAAAAAAGGCTAATAAAGATTCCCGAAGTAGTGGACAATCTAACAGGTTACCGGGGTTCCGGCTCGAAGCAAGAGTAGCCACGGGTAGGTTTTTAGTCAATAAGAGTCTGATACTCTCTCTCGTCAGACCCAAGGTGGGAGAAGCCATTAGATGAGTTTTCTCCCTAAAAAAATGTTAATAAAGAGTCTCATCTAGGGTCCGTTTAGAACCCAAATAGTGTAATTAGAAACTTTTATTCAAAGAATAAATTGTGTACCTAGTGTAATTATAATTAATAGTGTAGTTTATAGAATACTAGCGACCCGCCCCGGCTTCGCACGGGTGCAATATGCATGTATTATACATACAAACCTTCCTTAAGAATCACTCTATCTATTAAAAAAAACCGCATCAAAATCCGTTGCGTAGTTTTAAAGATCTAAGCATACATACGGACATACAGCGAAAGCGATTTTGTTTTATACTACGTATTGATAGACAATTAAATAATCAATGAATTTTAACCATATATAAAATAAAATGTGGAATCTCATATTTCTTTTGTAAACATATAACCTAAAACTTTCCACTAACCTAAGTTACTTTTTTGAATGTACAATGTATATTGCGTTTTAGTTCGTTGGCTTCGTTGTACATCTTTATAGCTTTAGAATTACAACTTTTACAAGGCAAATTATAATCTCATTATGCAGACGTTTCTGCAAGACCAAGAAAGTATGTAATGACTACTTTCAGATTGTACTAGATATATATTACCATTTGTACAGATTTTAATGTATGATGTGTTTTCTTTATTATTTAATTTTGTCTTTTCGACCTACCATCCGTGAGTCACTGCAGGGTATCACCAGAAGACCAGCGTTGAGTGTTACCACGCTCAACATAATGCTGAGGTGGAGGCCCGTTCGGCATGGGCATGCATCTATTTTTGCTATTTTTGTGATGTTTATTTTTTGTTTTAATTTGTTTTTATTTATATATTTTTTTTGTTATTTTTGTCTTCATCTCTGTGCATGCAATGTGTCGAATAAATGTTTTCATTCTTTCTTTCTTTCTGAATGTCCGAGCTGTGGACGACCGTGTTACCGGGGCTACGGGTCTGACACTATTTCCTCAACCAACAAGGTAGGACAAGACAATGGATAATTATCGCCCGCTCAAAAAAGATTTCATTTTTTATTTATTTATTTAATATGCTCTATGCACAAAATGTACAAATAGGTGGACTTAATGCCGTTGGGTGATGCAGAGAAGAGTAAATGGTAGGTGCAAGAGTGAAGCAGTGATTTTATTTAACAAATGTTGTTCAAAGTGCTGTAATGTTTTATGTCTACATGTCTAATTAGACTTTCAGCGTAGTGGAACGTTTATGCTAATTTGTAGTCATAATTTTGAAACATAGTTTCAGTTTTGAAAAATACTGTTTCGTTTCATTTTAATATCATATTCGTGATATTTACCAATCTCTGAAACAACGTGTACCGCCTTGTAGATCAAGAGATGGCAAGTCCAACTGCTGAGTTTTTGTTTTCAGGTTAGATCTCCGGGTGTGTGAGATTCACAAACAAAGATTTTATTTCAGGATGTTTTATCTTAATATAGTATTGTATAATTTACAATGTGGCATACTATTGCGTAATTAATAATAGTTACTGTAGTGTAGAACCATGTGAGAATAACTAGATACGACAAAGGCAACAAAGGCAATGGAAATCGGTACACGCGACTTACTCAAATGTGTCCTCACGAAGTGTATTACATTTGGTCACAGACTAAATAATTTTGTTTTAATATCTTTATAAATATAATTCTGCTGGACGTGTGTATGTCATTGAACTCCGCTTAAACGGCTTCACCGATTTAAATAAATTTTTCTGTTTGGCACCCTGGATGGTTTAGATTCACAAATCAGCCCGGCAGATGGCGCTGCTGTCGTTTTTAGGTCGGTATTTATCCTAAACGGCTGAACTAATTTGAATGAATTTTTGTTTATACATTCAAGTGGATATGCAGGACAACGTCTGTCGGGTCCGCTAGTAATAATATAAATATATAGTGTCGTGGTGGTCCGGAGGTTTAAGACGCCTGCTTCTTATGCATGAGGGTGCGGGTTCAAAACCTACCAACTGCAAGTACCAATGTTACTTTTTCCGAGTTATATGTACTTTCCAAGATTATCTAGACACTATTGACAAACGGTGAAGGAAACTTCTAATTATAAGTTTGAAATCGCCAACCCGCAGCAAACATGGTGATTAATGCTCTAACCTTTTCTATGTGAAAAGAGGCTTTGCTCAGCAGTGGGCATTTATAGACTGTTGATGAATAATATAAAATTAAAACAAATCATTCTGAATATAAGGTTATGGTTCTGTACCCAAACAAACAAATAAGCTCGTGCCTTTGTCCTATAACTGTACACATACACTAAAGAACGCCATCTACTAAAGACTCTTGCAAACTTCTTAAGCTCCATCATATTCATGCATCTGGTTCTGGTATTGCAGGCTCGCAGACGCCTTGTTTTATTCTTTCTAATGAGCTCAGGTTAATATTTTTGTCTTTAGTGCAAAATAACATGAATTTTGATGATCCTTAATTGTATTTTTACATATCCAAGGTCAAATCAGTTAATCGATTCGATTATTTATCGATTCTTTATTCTATCGATTTCATGATGAATAATTTTTACAATTGATTTAGAAAAATTAGCTTTAGGCTTTATTATCTTATTCTAGGTTAGTATTGATATAATGTAAGAAAAATGTAGCTAACTAGCTTTCAGTATATGAGATCAAAGAAGTGCTTAAGATTTTTGCACTATATTTTTTTTTTCAGCCATGGTCGCCCCACTGCAGGGCAAAGGCCTCCCTCCACTCCTCTCTATGTAAAGCTTTTTGCGGCCAATCCTTGTGATAGATGTCTAATTCGTCCCGCCATCTCCTTTTGGGCTCTGCCT